GTTCCTCGCTAAGCCGCTTCGGTGATGAGATCAAGTGTTTCAAAGCAAGAGATGACTCTTGTGTTTCAAAGCAAGGAGTATTCAGCTAGCTGATGCTACCTTTCATGAACAAAGTCAGTGCCTACATGTGACCTTTGAGGGACCAAAATGGTGGTCTTCTAAAAGGGCAGGGCGTTGGCGAACGGGTATCTTCACCGGTGTTGGGTCAGGTGGGGTTCTGGATTGAAGTGCACATGGAAAAAAAAAGGGGAATCAACTATAGTCATGTAACATGTAGAGTGTTGATGAAGGAAAAAAATCTTCAGAATGGTTTTACAACGCTGAACACATCTCCAGGCCTGGTGGGTCCTATTCATCAAACAGTCCTGCATGAATCACCGGTGAGGTCATGGCTTCGCCCGCCTCAGCGTGGACATACTGGTCTTCCTGATTGCCACACCTAGGCCACCGGGTCGATCCCAAGAGCTCCGCGTCCGCCCTGAGACCGTTCTCTGACGGCCGGACGACACCCGGTGCATCTTTAGAAATCCAACCACTTGGGAAGAGGGATCAAACCAATACGTGGTGAACACGCGCAGGAGAAAGAAAAGGCCTATGGCCTATGGCCCATGAAAGCCCCGGTTTTAAGCCGCAAGCCCGAGTGTGAGCCTTGAACTGGGGTGTCTGTAAAGTTGAGACCTCATGCATTCCTGCCATGTTGTTCTTTTCATTAAGATCTCCAAGCCATCCATGAAACGGGATTTAAATGGCGGTGGTTTCAGAGTCCATATGGGTGTGTATACTGTATATATATATATGGGCATTAATACAGGGAGACCTTCCAGCTTGACCCCCTGGAAGAAGGGATTAGACAAGTTTACATTTAAGATTACATTCTCCATATGGATCCATATGGAGTGTTTGGACTTGTTCAAGATCCTTTAGCGGGCTAAAGAAGGTGAGATGGGATGCAAAAGGTGGTGACACTCAGCCGTTCTACCACTGAGCACGTCCTTTTGGCCGTCGCCGAGTGGCAGCGAGTGCGCATTGGCCTTCGCAAACCAACTGTCTCGGACCTCCATGTCTGCGCCGGCAATGGCCTGGGCGCCGAGATGGTGTTCCTCCACCCCCAAAGAATGAAAGCAGCCACAAAAGAAAAACAAATACACTCCGACTCACTAACATGGAAGTGGAAAACTCACTGTTTTTTTGTAGAGGAAAGTAGTCTTCCAAGAGGCCATTTTCCACTTCCATGTTAGTGAGTCAGAGTGTAATACGAAGATATAAGAAGTAGAAGAAGGAGATCCGAGCCCGGGAGTCTATGGCCTACAACCACCACTCTTCATATTTGGAGCTTCTTCGCCCTTGCACGCGATCATGGGCAATAAATGAGGCTAGTACACAGAAGTGTGTGTGTGTGTGTGTAACCCTTGTAGTCACAGGGATCCAGTTGGATTGTTTTGTACCGTTTTCAGCAGGGGGACTGTCTACCCCACAGAAGTGACAGTCCAACGAAGAGGCTTGTGTGGCGCTACTGATATCACTGGAGACGTCCAGTGACGTACCTGCGAATTTTCGAGTTTCAGGGGAATGGCATGCGGCTAAGCCTAGAACCTCACTTGGCAGACAAGTACGACCGTCGTCACTTCGTCGCTTCTTCGTCGTCGTCACTCTGTCGCCTTGAAGACCTCCAGGATCCAGTGGTTCGTACGTGTACCCTTAGGAATTGGAACCCTAGGCTGGCGTGTGGCACCGCTATCAGTTCCGTATGCATATCCATAAGTGTGTCTCTCCCAGTGAGAGTCCGGGATGAGCCCGCAGAGTGCCACCCGTGGACCCGTTGAACGGGGGTTTGTCCATGTTCCCCCGGCTCTGGGAACGCAGATGTCCGCAGCGGACAGTAGATGGCTTATGCCTCAAGAAGTGGGATGTTTGTCTCATTTTTGGAATTCCAAGTTGGCTCATGCCTTTACGTGACCGCAGCGGTCCAAGCTGGCTTAACGCCTCAACGTGGTCAGAGCGACCGAAGCCTTTTTGAGGTTCATTGGAACCTGTTGGAGCCTTAGTATTTCAGGTGATCCGGCGCGGAACCTAGAAAAATCTTGCCTCCCCTCGGGGAGGCGTGTGTGTGTAACCCTTGTAGTCACAGGGGTCCAGTTGGATTGTTTTGTACCGCTTTCAGCAGGGGGACTGTCTACCCCACAGAAGTGACAGTCCAACGAAGAGGCTTCTGTGGCGGTACTGATATCACTCGAGACGTCCAGTGACGTACCTGCGAATTTTCGAGTTTCAGGGGAATGGCATGAGGCTAAGCCTAGAACCTCACTTGGCAGACAAGTACGACCGTCGTCACTCTGTCGCTTCGTCGTCGCCTTGAGACTTTGGCCTCCGTTCCTCTTGAAGACCTCCAGGATCCAGTGGTTCGTACGTGTACCCTTAGGAATTGGAACCCTCGGCTGGCGTGTGGCACCGCTATCAGTTCCGTATGCATATCCATAAGTGTGTGAACTGTGTGCACTGTAGATGTAAATGCATATATATATATATATAGAGAGAGTATGGTATGGTGCAAATGGAGATAGAAACGAACACCATCTTATATACAGCATCTCATTATATACAGGTACTGTACCATAATTAATCCTCATTGAATCCCAACCTTAGCTATCCACCCTGTGAGATCTCTCAACTCAATGTGTTGACAATCACATCGCGATGCATCCTGCACCCTCTTTGACAGGTTGTATCTCTAGTCAAGTCTGAACACTGAACACTCCTTTTTGGACGGCCAGAGTTGATGCACCACGGATCCAAAGAGACCATCATCACCATTGACCATCCCCACATATTGAATATGTATATATATATTTCTATTTTATGTATCTAATACAATATATGTCATAATATGTTATACTATCATGCACTTGAAATTGTAATCGTTTACATTCTTTTACTCCATTGACGGTCGTCCGTCCATGTTGAAAAACCCAATCCGTGACCGAAGATGATGTCGTTGCAGAATTTCTCCGCTCTGTTTCTGTCCGCTTCCTCCCTTGGCTCAGGCGGGCGGCCGAAACCTGAAATTCCATCTGGACCTTGGTGACTTTGTCCTCCTGGGTCGGTGCGCAAACCGGTTGGTCGGTGAAGGATTGGACTGGGGGGACGCTTTCTGCCAGGCGATCAAGCTGAGCTTGGAGGAGGAGCAATCAATTCCGCTTGCTTTCCCCCAAAAGCCGCACCTAATTAGTCTATAACAGCAAAACCATGCAAAACCGTGTTTAAATGCATGGTTTGAATTGAATTCATTGCTTGGTCGCAAAGTTCCAGGACCTCAAAACCTGTATGGAGCAATCCCTAGGGATCCACATACCTTCTCAGAAGGTACAACTGCATCAAAGAGTGTCCAATCACCTCCTCAGAGGGTATGTAAGTCCAAATAGGGGATGAATGTATTCAATTATTTTTGGATTCGGACATTCTGCAAGCTGCGAGCTGATAGTGCAGAAACAAATCTTTGGATCTCTCCCGTGAAACCCGTTTCAGCCCCACCACAACCATGCCGGACATCCATGCCCGGTTCTCCTGACTCGTCTGCCAGGCTTGGAAGCGACTCGGCGGCATCTCGTTGCTCTTCAACTGGGCAGATCCGAGCCACAGCCGGGAGCCACCACCGAGCGGCCACAGGGGTGGGCGTGTGGTGGGTGGGACTGGGGGTTGGGTTCGAGGTTAAAAGTCCAAGGACCTGAGGGACATGACGTGACTGGTGCCCATCTGTAATCCAAGATGTCTTCTTCTTTGAGAGATCCGACTCACTTCGCATGCCGTGTGCAAGGTTCACACGCACTGGATCGATGGAAGCATGTAAGACTGGTGTTTCCCGTGAAGCTGCTTAAGGAACAATTACACATATTTGCCAGGAGGGGATTTACAAATTAATATGATTAGTTAATGTAGGGATCTAAATTACCCATAATTACCCGCTAAGACAAACCATGTTCCCTTGAATACCGGCGATGGATGGAAAACATGAGATGCAGCCCGCATCGCCGAAGTCCTTGGTACGAGCTACTCGAAACGAGAAGAGTTACACAAAGTTCCCCAACAACAATCCATGCCTGGGAGGAGGGGGGCCCACTCCACTTCCATGTATATAATGTGTTCCATGTTAGTGTTTTCAGGCTACTAGTGTCATGTTCGTGATATCAATCTCCACCAGGCTCGTGGCGATGTAGGTCCAAAGCACTCCGCACTCCATGTATATATGGTATATATTCCGTTCTATTCCTACATTCATCCCTAAAACCACCCCAATGATCCCCCATGATCCCATCTTTAGGCGTGCCGTGTCTGGTTCCCAGCATTTCCCAAAGGAACAGCATTTCCCAACAGGTTCCCCAAAGAATCGGTACACTTCGATCATCGGCTGGATTAAAAACCATGGTCTCCAAAGAGGTGAATGTCATCCAGCTGGTCGGTCATCCAGCTGGTCCAGCCTGCAACGTTTGGACCACATCTTTGTGCAGTTCCTTAGGATGCGCGAGGAACAGTCTATCCAGTCACTGGACAACCACCCAAATATTTGCATGTGTGCTTGCTGGTGTCCAAGGAACTTGAACAATATGTCATGTGTTGGGATGATTGGCAATTGTAAGTTGAAAGGTTAAAACTAGTGAAATCATGTTGAAGACAGCCACCCGTAAGAAAACCCCGGTTCCTCAGTAGACACTTAGGTCAACTCAAAAAGCCCACCCACCAGCTAGGAATTTCGTGTGTCTCCCTTTCGGGTTCTGGTCAAATTGTATTTGAACAATTATGATTACTTTTTAGCACCTGGTTCTTCCAAGTGACCTGTTAGTCCCCTGATTTAAGGTTAGTATATAGGCTACTTAGGGACTCCAAAAAGGTCACCTTGAAGAAGCTGGTAATTCATGGTTTCTTTCCTTCCTGCCCTCTGTCTTTCATTCTTTCGATTCTCTCAACCAGGGCCCTCCCTCAAACAATCTCACAGTTCCGGTTCTTTGTCATGTCCTGCTGGGCACCACCTGGGAATGTCCCAATCCAACAGCTCGTCCTCCACTCCGCTGCGGACACTTTTTCTTCAAGTCCTCCTGCTGCCACTGCTGAAAGGCGCTGGAGGTACAAGAAGAAAGGCTCAGCTCTGGGCCTTTGGCAGTCAAGCATTGACCTGGCACCAAAGGCCCAGTGGTTTCAAAAGGTGTTGCCTGGGACTCTTGGGAACTCCGTGCTTGCCTCAACTAAGTAGCAAGCCAGAAGTCAGAAGTATCCAAGTCAGGAAAACGAGACAGTGTCCCTCTTCCTGGGTGATGTTATGCGAGTTTGGCAGGGGTTCACATGTTTAAAATATCGGAAGCTCACATACACACATGATGATTCACGACAGTATGAATATGCACCGGACCATCCCTTCATTGTTTGTATCAGAAATCTGGCCATGATGATCTCACGGTCTCACAGTTCAATTGCTGCGGAGCAAGGTTCACCCTCTTCTTACTTAAGAAACAGTTATATAGATATTCTAGTTCAATTGTTTTCCCCTTGCTCCACGCCCGCAAGCTCAGGTACTCCTCGCACGGTGCAGCCACAGCCTGTGGAACTTTTGATCTGTGGCCCATCGAAGATCCATTGTTGCTCCTTGGACTGGACACCTTGGCTGCAGTGGGCGTGGTCTATCAAATTATATATAGATCATGTATCGTCGGCCTGGATTTCTCAATGGTATCCCCATCAGAACTGCGGTAAACATGTTAGTTTCTTAGCATGCAACTAGTTCACCAGCAAAACAAAAACGTGGCCAGGCCGTTGTTCCTCTGCCGTCGAAAGAAACCCATCTCCGGCACGGTTCCAGAGGAATCGAGCGACGAAGCAACGGCATCGATGTGGACGAAACGAACCAGTTGTAAGCACCGTCAGAACTCATAAGATGCTGAAAGCGCCTGCATAAGACCACAGCTCGGGTGTTGAAGCAAAGCAGCCACCCGCCCCAATTCACCCCACCAGGGTGTGGCCCTCCGAATCCAAAAAGCGGCGGAAACCTACCAAAAAGAAGTGCATCCGAATACCCTTGCGGCCGCGAAAAGGAATGAACCCGCTAGAAGGCCGCACCAAGGAACACTGGCTGAGGTGAAGCACTTCGCCCGCAGTGATGCAAGTGCGACCTGACTCGTGCGGCGCACGGATGTTTCAGATCGTTCAGGGATTGATTGCACTGATGCGTTTTGGTTTGACGGGGTCGTTTCTGGCCGTGCGAAACAAATCCACAACAATCTGTGTATAGAAGAGGTCAGCCTCTTCAGATGGAATTCACAAACCACAATGACCCTCCTCAATGTCATGTTCCAAAGTGAGGGTTCCCGGCTGTGATGTTGATGGTTTTCTTGGATTGGTTTGAGGAACCGGGGCAGGAAACAGAACATATTCACCAGAGGGGGATCCGCCACTAGGGTAAAATATGCAATTCGTTTGGCAAAACATGGCAAAACCAGTTTTTCTCGCCTTTCCGGTCACCTCTCTTGGGCCCCGGGCTGCCCACGGTGCTCCGGAGCCCTGACTCGCTGAACTCCCACGTCTGCGCGCTGCGGAACTCACAGATCTCCAAGCCTTACAGATCTCTGTGGCCGACGAGTCTGACGTTTCAAAGCTGGAGGAGCTTGGTTGACCACCCCGAATGATCCCAAACGAACAAGAAACTAGCAAACTAAATGGTCACCCTTAGTTACGTTTCCATACTTTTTTGTACGGGAGGTGCCATGACCCACTGTATCCCACTGTATTATGGTTTGGCTAAACCCCCTGAAGTCTGAGTGACAGCCCTTGAGATTCCAACGGCTCGTCCCACAGTTTTCAAGGAAATTCGGCCCCAACGAAGGAGTGATCCTTTGCCCCATCCATGCACCACGTATCGAAGCATATCACTCTGAGTACCCCCACTGAGCGTCGTGTCTCCGCCGCTGGGGAGGTTTGCGCCTTGGTGCCATTCATGATCATTCATGTGTCCAAACGTTGGCTAAATACTTGGGCTACGACGCCCCGAGGCGCCTGTGGGTGGGAGATATGAGAGTCTGACTGAAGCCCAGTCAGGGAGTCATTCGCAAGAACATGTTAAGAAAAATGGTGTCGTCAAATTCGACACTGGATTCCGATGTGCCACCCCGCTTCGCTCCTTTCACTTCCAGCGGGAATGTCTCGTCCTGTGACATCACCAGCGGCTCTGAGGTGTTTCCTCCGCAGCCATTGATACACACGACGTTGCTCAGGTATGTCTTCCTGCAGTTTACACCACTTTTGTTCACTGTCAAGCTGTTTCTAATTACATTTTCTAGCTATCAAAGGACATCTGAGAGAGCCCTCAAAAGAGCCCTTGAAGGGGTCGAAGGGGCGAACGGGTCCTCCGCGCCGGTTGGTTCCGCGCGGTTCGCCGTGGAGGTGCCATCTCTCACCGTAGTGCACCGATTTCACATTTAGGGGGGAGACACAGGGAACTCCACAAAGTCGTGAACGGGTCCTTCGCTGTCGCCCCTAGTGCTGACCCGGTGAAGTGGGCTCGGTGTCTCCCCCGTAAAGGGAATAGACACAGAGACAGGGGAGAAGAGAGAAAGGCGCAAAAGTAGCTAGTTAATGTTTAAATCTTAGTTATTTGGCTGGTCTAATTCCTTCAGTTCCTGTCTTCCCTTGATGTTTGAAGAGTTTTGAGGGCATGTCTTAAAATTGTCAAAACTGTCAACAGTCACCCCTTTCGCTTTATGAGGCCAAAAACCGAGCTTAGGCCGATCTCTCGACTCCCTGTGTCTCTAGAGACAGAGTAAAAAGTAGCTAGTTAAATTGTGTTTCTTAGTTATTTTCCTGGTCTAATTCTGTTCTCTCAAAATCTGTTCTAGAATTTTGCGGAGCCTATCTAATATATATATATATATCACTGAATAATTCAACGCGTCTTTCTGTCCGCTTCCTGTTGTCCTTGAGTGTGAAGGAATGCTATCTTGGACAAAGAATTCCAACACAGGTGCCACACTGCAAGTATTTGATGGGGGGAGTTGAAAATGTAACTACACACGTCGGAGGTAGTAAGTTATATTTCCCACCCTTTTAATCTCAGGAAGTTACATTTATTAACCCCCCCAAAGTGAGTGGTTTGTGGGGGGGGTTGATAAATGTAAGTACAGTCCTCGGACGTCCTAAGTTACATTTTCGAGGACCCCCCCCCAAAAAAAAAGAACGTCAACGGGGGGTTACTTACAATTAAAAAGACCACTAGGGGGGACCCCAGAAAATGTAAGTTCCCCCCTCAAATCCACGGGTAAGGGGGTAGGGATGGTCTGATAAAGAAAAATCGGTAGGTACATGGAGTAATGGCAACCGTCTCAGGTGAGTGCACCCACTCGTCTTGTGACCATAGCAGCTTTAGAGCCTTCCTCCAACTCGACCATGTTCCCTGACCTGATCGCTGCGGCCTGAAGCGAATTAAACACATTGTGCTATAAACTTTAGCCTGCCAGGCATACACCCCGGATGAAAAGAACATGGAAATCAAAGTAATCACATGTCTCTATAATACTCAATATCTCTCCGTGCAAGGCACCAATGGTCACTCCACACAGTCACACAGCCAGCGGCGTGCATTGCTCCACCACAGCCGGGGCTCTTTATGGGGTTCTTGAACGCGTTCGAGCCGCCATCTGTGGCCCAGACCGTTGACCACCAGACGTAGATTGCCCCCCCCACCCCCCACCCCCACAAACCATGGTATCATTGGCATGAACCTCTTCTGGCGCCTATGGCTCATATGTGAAAGCACATTGAATAATTCCACTATAGTATAGCAGGTGTTCACATATCAGCCACAGGCACCAGGAGACGTTATGGGCAACTACCCTACCAGGCATACGGTATACGCGCCATAGATGGAAGTATATACATGTTGTTGCTATTTTACATTATATATCATTATAATTGATTAATTATTTGCAGGGCCACTGGTGAGAAATTGGAAGGTCTACAGTGCATATTGGACCACGGCTCCTGACTGGGGAGAAGAAAAAGGTGTTCAGAACACCTTAGAATTACGGTTCACTACTACCACTTAAAGAACTCCAGAAACTAACGACACCTCGGGAATTTTTCACGTTTTCAGGAGTCGCCCGAGTTCATCCAAAAGTTTTCAGCCCCTGCCTAGTGAGTGGATAATGGGGGACCCCAGGCACCCCTTTGGAACTGCTGGTGCCACACCTCCTAAAGACAAGGCTTGGGCTTTAATTGATTGCCGGGCCCCGGCGGTGATCAGCAAGGAACCGGAGAATGACCGAAGTGAATGAATCCAGTGAGAACCAAACATCAGCTTCAGCAATCGGCTCGAACAGGTCTCCGAAATGGTGGGTGAAAGGGAGACTTCTTCTTCTTCGGGTGCTGATACAGGATTCAATACGTCCCACCTCCCTAGATTCGTGTTGCCACGTGTCGGACACTCCCACAAAGCTACCACCCAGGACCTGCCAGGACGACCCAGGACTCCCCATGCCACCGGCGGATCCGATGTTCCCCCGGCGCCCGTGCCGCTGTCGCGGGCGCTGTCGCCCTCGCTGTCCCAGGAGCTCATGCACTTGTTGATCTGAAGCCAGTCGCTGCCGATGTTCAGCAGAAAGCCTCTGACAAAAGGCGCTGAACGGCTGGCACAGACGGTTGGCTTGCAGGAGAACGGCTGGCAGTTGGGTTTCATTTACGAAGTAGATATACTGAATTCACACAACCTTCCACGTATATATATATATATAATATGATGGTAAATGAATTCCAACTTGATCCAACCTATGGCTAGGAGAGCAAGAATAAAGACGTTTTAAGCAATACTTTCTTGGTCTTTCTTGATCATGGCCCCATGCACATCCAATAATTGATTCTGTGATGTGTGAATGAAAGACTGACTAGCAAAGCAGTCTAGCAAGG